ACTCAGAGCATGCTTGATGACTCACTGAAGGAGGAGTCTCACATTTGGGTACGTACTGTTCTTCCTTTCGACACCTAGAGTTCTCAGAATTACAATATCTTTCACTCATATGGAAAGAGCAGTTCCATCACACCAAATGAAAGTAAAAAATGCCTTTAGTCATTCTGAAAATTTTACTGTGTCACATTTAAAATGCTTCTGCAAATATAGTTACTAGATGTGCACTTTAAATACAGGAATGAATAAAATTTATGTTTGAATCTCTTGTGTGACACATCTAGAGTAGCAAGTTCTGACAGAAGAGCTTCAGAATGGAGAAGCAACACATGCGAATATTCAGCCCTTCTGTTTTCTCTCTGCCCTTTATGTGCCAGTCAGAGTCTGTCCATCCCCTTCAATTTTAAAGATATCAGTAATTTCACACAAATTTTCATTCCTCTTAGTTGCTATTAATATTTTATTCTGTAAATGAGGTCAACAAATAAATACAGTGTTACTCAAATTATAAGAGCCGGTGTAGCTCAGTCAGTATAGTGACTGCCTACAGACTGGACGACAGGTTCGATCCCCGACGGGGGCAGAGGATTTTTCCTCTAGCCTCTGCGTCCAGGCCAGCTCTGGGGCCCACCCAGCCTCCTATCCAATGGGTACAGGGTCCTTTCCAGGGGGTAAAGCACGGCCAGAGAGTGATTCTGACCACTCACCCCATCTAGTGCCGAGGTAAAGTATGAGTAGGAGTTATAACATCTCTCCCCTCCAAGTGCCTACATGTATTCAATATCTTTGTTAATTTTGTATCAAATTTGTATTTTATAGCATGTGATTGGTGGAGATAAACCGGGTTTCGTAGTTGGTACTTTTCAAGATGCTAAATTTAATAGTCCTCAAGGGGTGGTGTTTCACCATCCAACTTTGCTGTACGTTGCAGACACAGAAAACCACGCTGTCAGAGAGGTAACTAGACACTCTAAATCCATATTGAATTGATGTTGTCTTTCAAACTTTAATATATATACCATTTTATCAGCCTTTATTTAATTCTTTTTTTTTTCCCCATTTACCATAAGTTATCTCTACCAAGAGAACATCAAATTTCCTTTACCTAAACCAGTTAATTGCAGGATCTGGCTAATGTAATAACTTAGTGCTACCTTCAAAAACACACGAAAATTGTTAATGACCTCTCAGAAGGGCCTTCTTCCTAGTTCGCTGCACAACCAATAGAAGTCACACATCTGTATCATGCATTGAAAGATGAAAACACAGCACTGAATCTTTATATGTTGTTTTGTGACTGTTTGCTAGCTACAAGTTTGGAACACCCAATGTGAAGCCGTAACAAAAGCAAATGTAAGAAACAGCTGTCTGGTCTGATGAGGAGGAAATTGGGCTTATTGGGTTCTGCTTGTTTCACAATGGATGTACTGATGAAGAAAATCCCACACAATTGAGATCAGTTGGGCTTTGACGTTCTGAGCAGTGCATTCTTAAATCTGCACATACTGCAATTTCAGATCAATTTGCAATCACTGCGTGTCATAACACTCGTTGGCAGAGGAGTTGAAGGTTTGGATCTTGTCAGTGGAGCGCAGTTTAGAGAACTGGTGATCTCATCACCATGGGATCTGTGCCTGGTGTCTAGCACTGTGATTTCAGGGGCATAAATACGAATGAGACGTCTGGGATGCGGATTCCTCCCACCTGTAACGCATGGATTACGACTTGTATGTGCCCTGTGAGCTGTGTGAAACAGCTGAACAGCGTACATGTTTATACCCAGTTGCCACTTCGTGATTTGTGTTCGTGGGTATCTTGTGTATTTTTGTTCGCTTTACAAGTTGCCGTTCTTTCTCTCGAAGGCTATTATATTCAGGAGGTTTCATGTTCAAATGTCAACTATCCTGACTGAAAGCATGTCATGTCACATTCGCTTCTATGGTAAATTGAAACATTTTTGTGAATTAATTGAAACAACTCGTACCCACACGCGGCTGGATTAGCGCAGCCATCGGGTCTCACCGTAGCAAGCGAACTGCAAATCGTCTTGGTTGCCGACAGCGAGAGCTCCAGCATTCGAGAGATATCATTAACAGATGGGAAGGTGTCGGCTGTGGTGGGGGGTGACAAAAGTCCCTTTGTAGGTCACAGCTGATTTATGAAAAAAAATCTCTTTGTAATGCAGTTTGATGCTGGATGGTGGGACTTAATAAAATTCAAATACTTCAATATGCTTTTAAGTAAACATTTGATTTGTTGTGAGATTTGAAGTTCTTGCAGGAGTGAAGATATTCACACCTTCTTTTTCCCTGTGTATCAAATATAAACTGAGTGGGGTAAATGTTTTGGAGATTTTCAGAATCTGTTTGATTTTGGGGACAAACACGGAAAGCAGTTTGACGCAAAACTACAGCAGCCTCTGGGTGTTGCTTGGTGAAACGTAAACAAAATTCTGTACGTTGCAGACTCATACAATCACAAACCAAAGGCTGTGAATGTATAGAGTAGTGTCTGCACAACTGTAATGGGATCAGGAGAGCCAGGCAATAAGACTGGGTGTTATGAAACTCCAGATGCTGTACAGGCAACAGTCATCAGAACTTGTGTAATTTTAATTATTCAAAGGCAGGAAAATAATCATTGTAAGATGAAGAGGATACCGCTGTTGTTATTGTTATTGATGTGATGGGGTGAGACTATGTCTCTGTGGGACTGAGTCTGTAACGGGCCCTATGTTTAGTTCCTAGATGATATATGATAGAATATGGAGCAGCTACAAGCCATGGTGGTCTAGCGGTTAGAACGCTGGCCTTGTAATCCTGGGGTCTTGGGTTTGATTCCCGGCGGTGCCCGAATTTATAACTTGTGTTGGGCAAGGCCGTGGTCTAGGCAACACGGAGTTTTCCTCCGTGGCATCCCAACAATTACTCCATTCACACACAGAAGAAGGCAATGGCAAACCACTTCGGGATCATCTGCCAAGAACGTATATGAACAGGGCCCAGTCCGAGAAAAAGAGGGGAAAACCAAAGGTCTCAGAGCAAAATGTGTCTCAGTGTTACTTTGTTCACCACAAATTCTCATTTGGACTGATCTAGGTGCAAACCCAGGCTTGCGTGAAGAAGCGCAACTAACCGTCTGAGCTGCGGCATCATCATTTGTGTTCCCAGGTTTTACAAACGTTGCTAGGAGGGGGTTCCTTGGACCTCAGTCGAGCGGGAAAATTATTTGTGGCCTGAGGGCAGAGAAAAGTTTGACCACCCCGATTCAGTCTCGCGACAGGATTCCGTGGCGTCCTCTTGACGACACGGGAACACGACTTAGGGCTACATGACAGACGAGGCCACTCAAAAGACAGTCGTCTTCTCAGGAAGGGCTCTGCCCCGTGGATGCTACGCGTTTTATCTACTTACTTTGGGAGCCATTATCACTTCCTCGGTGGTGCCATCTGCTGCTATAATCTGGTGTTTTTCGGCGCCCCGAAAAACTACTTGTTGTAAAGGAACCCTGTTTAGACAGAAAACAAGAACACAAGAGTTAGAAGCTGCGTGCATTGCTTTAGTCCAACTCGCGTTCTGACGACGCATTTTTTGTATTGCTCTCCCAACTATGTCCCGGTTTCCCGTGAGTTCTTTTCCACTCATGTCGTACTGTCTTCCCCGACACTTTCATAACAAATACTCTTTTTATGGTGTTTCTCCATTAGACTATGGCATGCCCGAGAAACACCCCTCGCTCTCTTTCTGAGTAAATGTTTAAAGCAGCTGGATTGCTGTAATCGTAGAATTTAACACTTTCCATGAAATTCAGTGTCCAAGATAAGATTTTTAAACTGGGCATCTCTCATATTTGTAATTCTGAACCTGACAGTCTTAGTATCACAGATTTGTTAATTTTATTTTTTTAATCTTATTTACCTAACAAACCCAGATCGAAAAAGTCAGTACTCAGTATCCTGATTTCTAACAATAAACATATTTAATTTGATTGTTACTGGATGAGTTAAGAGGTTATTTAACAACTGCTGTATCAATTCTTTGTAGAAGACCTTACTAAGTACCGACTTTCGAATTGCAGACAAACAGTCGCCCTGACGATGGAAATAGTCAGACAATGATTATTTAATGTCAAATGATGTTAAAGGTTAGCTCCATTCAGTGAAGTTGAGAGGATCTGAAAGGAGCAGTCTTGCCATACTTATTGGTGCTCTCTGGAAATTTAGAGGGGGGGGGATCTAGATCAATCCGTGATGTTTCACAGGATTTCATTTTTTACATAGAAAGATTGATCTAAGCAATAACGCTGTTGAACTTTATGCGGGAGGGGGTTGCGCTATTTGAATATCACCTCGTGGTCTGATTTTCCCCGCTGGTGTTCGTGTAATTTCTCAGTGTGTTCAGGTAAATGTGTCTCGAAGTCGGCTGGTGGCTGTGCCGCTGGGACTACGAAAGGCAGCTTCTGTCGCTGTGATCGTGCATAGCGGATAGGTTGTGCTGGCGGCGTAGTAGTCAGATACCCTCACCGTATTTAGTTCGTTCTACGTGTGTCTGAACTTCTCAGTTTCATTGGCCTAGTGCTTTTTTAACACTTAATTCCCTCAGTTTAAATTCTAACAGTATTTTCATTTCTTCTAGAACTCACCTTACTACGTCGTGGCAGGATGTCGCAGCCACGAAGAGGACGACGAGCAGTTGAACAGCAGACATCTTGGTGGTGTTGCTTCCAGCTGAGGATGAGGCACACAGCTCCTCCACTAGCTTATATACCAGCCCTCTCATGATGGCCTTAATCTCCAACTGACGCCATACGTCGTCGTGACATACGCCTCCTTAGACGCAGGTGATATTTAATGGTGCACTCGTGCACACTCAGCACGTTTGTGTCTCGAAGTTGGCACCAAGTGGTTGGTGTGTCACATAATTTAAATTTGAATTTAAAGTTGATAAACTTTACGATCAGCTGCATCCTCTTTAGGATTCTTGAAAAAGCATACATTTTAGAATGGCTCTCGTACCGTATGGCGTCAGCGGGCCGTTGGTTGGGAACCATAACTCTGTTGTTGTACACACATGTATTGCTTCTTGAATGTCTTAGATGTGGGATGTTGCGCCATGTAGTCTGATAGAAGTTCAACGACGTTACAGAGGAGCTTGCTGCCTCCACCATCAGTGTGTGTGATTTCTCCTTTCAGTCAGTTTCTACTAGACTTCACCGCGTAACATCCGGGAAGACGCCTATACTCATACTAACTGGTTAACAGACAAATTAAATACCTAATAAACTAAACTGTTAATCAAAATTTAACCATTCAGTTAATCAAATAAGTAACTTCATGGAACTGCTCCTTCCTCAGGAAGTTGACAGTATTTCATCTGGCACCATCTTCAGGGTATAAGATTGAGGACGCAGATTTGTCTTAAACTTTTGCTCCCTAGAAAACCTCGAATTTCATTTTCGAACACTTGAGAGTGTGTGCATTGAGTGGAGGTTGTGATTGTGGTACATTTGAGAATTTATGATTTCTAGTGAATATATGGGTCATAGCATATTGAAATTTAAGGTTAGGTATTGTTAATGGAGGTGAGTAGTGACTGTTTCTGAAATGATTTTGTTAATTAAAGGTGGTGTTACACGTGTGGGTGTGGTTTGTTTAGCGCTTTTTTTAGCGTTTAATATTTACTCGTTACAAAGTAATAAGTGAGTCAGTGACAATGTAAGTACAGGCAACCCTCGATTTACGCCGGGGATGTGTTCCTCGACGAACCGGCGTAATCGGAATCGGCGTAAATTGAAACTCTTTTATAATGTAAATCAATGGGAAGTCAATGACACACGTTCCCAGCACCCAAACATTGACGAGTAATATAATGGCATTACATTTAAAGCTCTGAAATAACGTAAATAAATTGAAGGGAATTTAAAAAATATATTTTATACACTTACAATCGGAATTCGTTGGTCCCCGCGATTGACTGCGATTCTTTCATGCGATTGATGTGTACAGTCATCTCTGCTGTTATGCGACAGTTGCATTCATGTAAGACGCCGACCTATAGAAAATCGCGTAGTAAAAATAACCCCGGTACCTCCGCAGAGATTAAATTATTCCTTTGAAAATTTAAAGCGTCATGAATCAAATTTCATAAGAGCAAACTCACATATGCAAAAGTTTGCATTTCACACACAGCTTTTACCGATTCATTGATCTCATTGGAGCAAATTCGCGTTAACGAAACACGTAATTGCAGATATGACTGTATTTATAATTTTTATTAAAAATTAGCGATGTAAGAATTACGATTTAGTATAATAATCAGTTCGTGAAACATTGTAAATAATAGTGTGTGTGGTTTTTTTTTCTGGTTTGAAAATCGGCGTTATTCTGAATCGGCGCAAATTGAACAGGCGCAAATCGAGGGCTACCTGTAATTAAGTTTCGTTGGTATGAGAGTATGGCACACAGTGATTGGAGCTGATAGAATATTTTGTGTGCTAGTGGTAAATTTGAGAGATTGCTGTGCTGAGCAAGGCGGTAAGTTATAATGCTTGTACATTTGAGGTTAGGTATTCATTATTAATTTGGATTTGCTTCCCAAATTTGTTACAGAAATCACAAGCCTAGTAGATAACTGATTGAGGTGATAGTCTGAGAGTTTTGAGCTTTGAACTTTGATATTCATCTGAACCAGGTGTTGATGCTTCATGTGATGCAAGTGACAGGCACTGTTGAGAGTTCTCAGGCTTCAGCCATAAGGACATATGACGAGGCTGAATATTCCTTGTGGTGTATTGTGGGCAATTTGCATTAGGAGTGGGTTTGGTGGGTTGGAACCAAGTATAGAAATGCAGAGCACAGCAGGCGAAACCTTGTCATTGTCCTGTGTAATGTTGCTAGCAGTGCTACTTATGTGGTTGTGCCAGTGTTTGCCAGGATGGTTAGTTGATACGTCATAAATGGTTCTGTTGTCTTCTTAGCTTGGCAAAGAATAATCTATATAGCCTTTCAGTCAGATTTTTTAGCATGAAGAATTTGGGGGAGGTGTGTGTGCGTGTGTCAAACATGCAGACGTTATTAACCATTTGGTGTAAGTACAGAAATTTAAGATCGTATAAACAGAAAGAAGATAGTAATACAATGACTTCAGTGCTTTAATGGGTTTAAAGAATAACATCACTTCAAAGGAAGTGGTTCCCAAAGAGGAGTTTTGATTGGAATCAGGTTCTGTTGTTTATTGTTCATTATTCCGTTCTGTGGGATCAACAAATGTTTTTCTGTTTTTTTTCTCAAGGTCATATTTGCCATTGGTGTTGTGTGCTTAGCAGCATTTCTGTAATTAGCAGGGAAGGAAGTCAAGTCTTATCCTATGAAGAGAAGTGGTCACGTTTGAAATTAGATGTTTACTGCTTATTTTCCCATGGATATTACGTAATTTTAAAGCAGAAAAGTAACAAGCATTTTTATAATTTATTCTCTTAAGTTTGTAGTGAACCATTCCTCGCACTTGGAAGTTTTGATTCCAGGTCTTAGCTCATAAGTTTTTAAACATATCCAAACACTGAGTTTGCTCATGATTTGAGATGTTTTCTTGTAGACTTGCTGATCTGGTCAGATTTCTGTGTTATTCTTATATACTTTCTGTGAAGCAAAGCACCGTCTTTCAAGCACTTGACCTCAACGTAGCAACTGTCAAAATGGAATGTGAATTTATTTGTTTTTCACGAGTTGTTGGCGCCGTCAAAGACATGGATTTCTGAAATTGGTTGGTGTCATAATGGCGACCAGTGATACTAGTATCAAGAGTGAGGAGAGTAGACTTTTACTGAGAATTAATTACTTATAGGTTGTCGATAGGAATGAGGTTAGGTTGAGGACCAACTGTGCTTCATGGTGTATGTAATGTACATGATTGATAGGATTTGAATTTTTACGGTGGCGAGTTTGAAGATTGCTGTCTTCTGTGTTCATGCAACATGTAGTCTGGTAGAAGTTTACTGACGTTTCAGAGGTCCATGCTGCCTCCATCATCAGGGAGATGAATAAACTTCTACCAGACTGCATGATGCAACAACCCAAAACATAGCCATCTTCGACATGATGAATGTTGTCTTATGTAATAGAAAGTGAGGATCCTTGAGGTCATTTTGTTTGGTGCAAGTGTTTGTTTTTCCTGATCCTGTAATTTGTGTAGTGATGTGGAACCTTTGATAATAATCTGGAATATCACGCCTACCGCACATTACTTACTATGGTATTTTGTATATGGAAATCTGTAAAGAGATGTTGTCAAAGCGGAAGTTAATGGAAATGTTTAGTGATCATCACCGTGAGTGAGTTTCTAAACAGTGTGTATCAGGAGATACACAATAGCTATGTTCCCATAATCGAAAATGTGGGACTTGCCAGTGATGAGGTTGGTTTCCCCCATTGCAATCTTATTGCTGCTGATGAGTTTACAGTCTGTGGTGTGGTATTTCAGGTAGCATTTCAAACGGCAGTGCAATGGAGTGTGCTCGGATGGACATCTACTTCAGACCTGTTGTCGGTAGATGCCAGGAGAGATCGTAACGGTGCGCATAGAATAATCGGTAAATATCCCTCATGCTCCCGCGATGACCGGATTTGTTCACTGTTTTCAGACGTTGCCGTTCCTGCGTACGAGAAAAATGGCGTAGTCATTGTGCCTAGTTTGATTTGTTGGGTCGGCGTCAACGTAGAATGCATTCTGAGTACAATACAGGTCTTTTGTCATATGTTGCGAGGGCGTGAAGGTTAATTTCATGTTCTTTGTGCGTGTGTTGATTTTCTGTGTGTCGTCTTTCACTTGTGTGGAGGACGTTTTGATTGCATTGAAGGTCGGTTTAGTTGGTCAGTAGGTTACGAATGTAGTGTAGGTTGCCTCCATAGAAAAAATTACGACTTGTCTGTCAATGCGAGTGTTTATTTCGGTATTTGGTTTCGTTTCAGGTAGGCGTGCCTGCAAGCAGATAGAATACTTGGGTCTTTTTGCAGTTTTGAGTCTGTCTTTACTACAGAGGTAACATGACTTTTCATCGAGAGCTGACATGCTGTGGAGTATGTGCAGCAACAGTTGGCAGACTCACTTGATATCAGAACAGGAAACCTCGTGTCCGGAAAAGATTCATCTCTGTCTGAACTAGGCATGCATTGTGTAAGTATATGAGCAATAGGATGTATTTGATGTGTTTGTAGTGTGAGAGAGATGAGTCTTTCCAATATTATGTGGTTCTTTAAATCTTTTGATAGGAAGTTTGTGGGAAGCTGCAGGTAACTGAGGGTTGATAAGTTGCATAGAATTTATTTACATTCCATAGATCAGGGGTGACCAGCCCGCGGGCCGCATGTGGCCCGCCTTGGACATTTTTCCGGCCCGCGAGATTCATCACACTTTTACAAAATATATTTATTTTATAATGGCCAAAGTAGTGAAAACCAATGTATTAAAAAAATACATTATTTGTGCATCCATATATTCAAAAATTATCTGTCGAAATTATGAGAAAAAATTAACTTTGATTTTAAAATAATATTCTTGCGAATATATGACAGATATTGCCTGTTTTATTCATGAGTTTACAGTTATGAGTTCGCAGAATAATTAAACTATATTCTGCGAACTCATGATGCGCGTGCATCTTGGAACATCTAATATAACAGGTTCTATGTTTCACTCTTAAGTGCCAAATGTCTATAGTGTATCTGAATCTAATATGGGGATATATAATTTTATATGTGGCCCGCGGAGTTATGATGCATTTCCAAAGTGGCCCGAAAGATCATTTGGGTTGGCCACCCCTGCCATAGATCCTTCATAGGCCTAATTCAAGGATTTAGAACAGTTCATAGTGCAAATGCAATACTTGTTTCTAGTACAGGTATAAATACATAATGCTATTTACAGATTTTTGGAAGTCCAGTATTACGGCAAAACAATTATGATGAATTTCCATCACCATTATTTCTTACATGTATTTATAATAGTTGAGACTATTTGGGTGATGTAAATTCTTCGACTCAGTAGAAGGAGTGAGATAGGAGATACTCTTTTCTGAGGTTGACACTACAGCAGCACAAGAACTTTTTTTGTAAGTCTCATTGTTCGTTGAGGGCCGCTACATGCTTCAACCTTAATTTCTAATCTTCAGGAGTTTCTCTTTAAGTGCTGGAATGTAGTAGACATGCCTGCTATGTGAGGTACATATTTGAAACAGATAACATTCCATTGGTCCATTGCAAATGCATTGTGATTATTCATATCAAGTCTGCACCAGGAAGCAGGGGATGTTTGAGCTAAAGTAGAACATTGTTTTTTCATCAGATTTATATCATGCCACAGAGTTTCACTACTACACACAGATTGAAAACATCGAGCAGTTAAGAGTAGCGTGTAGTGAGTGCGCCTGTACTGTGTTCCGAGGGTGTTGTGATAATATTCTAGATTAAATCACTGTGCCACTGTGAGGTAATCTTAAATCTATACCCATTAGAACACATGAAAGCCTGGTGTCTGTTGTCCGTTAGTTGTTGTGAAATGAATGCTTTCAGGATGGCTAGTAGCAACTCGTAACTTACGTGCAATTAAAATTTCAAACTTGTTCCCCTTAGTCAGTACAGTCTGTGTCAGTGCAGCAGTGTGGAAGCCTGACATTGTTTTCTTGTGACTGCTGTGTTACCAACATGACACCTGTTCGTTGCAATCTCCTTTCTGGTCATTGATAATGCCTCATATCACAACACTCAAGACAGACAAACCACCGACATCTAACTCAAAGAAGGATGAAATGAAAGCCTGGCTATTGGAAAGAAACATCCCATTTTGTGACATGTTGAAAGCTCAACTGTGCGATGTAATCAAATTAAATAAGTCAAAGCACAAATGTTATGTGACTGATCAGATTTAGCAGATAAAGAACATACTGTACTGAGACTTCCGCTGCACCATCCCGATTTAAACCCCATTGAACTTATTTGGGCAGATTTAAAACAATGGGTTGAAAGCAAGAACACAACATTTAAAATTAAGGATGTTGAGCATCTGTGTCGCCAGATTTGAAGAAATTAGGCAAGAAGAATGGGAAAATGTATGTCGGCATGTTGAAAAACTAGAACAAATAATCGAAGACACTACTGAACACATTATAACTGAATATAATCTAGTGGACAGCAGCAGCGTTAGTGGTGAATCGAGTGATGTGTCAAGAGTGGAAGAATTGGAAGAGGACCGAAGAGTAGTGAAGAAGATAAAATTATCTAATACTCTCTGCAGCGTTAATTTTCTAGTGATGTGTAATAATCCGAGGCGTAACAGCCCTCTGAGAGCCTAAGCCATAGTGTAGTGAAATCGACTTTCCTTTTATGTACCATGGCGGTATTTTATTTAGAGTGTACTGAACGCGGCCTACTGAAGCAGCTTACTTAGCTTATTCGTTGGTTTGTCGGTCTACCGTGTAGTCTGTTTTGTGTGAGTTATGCAGCAGTGGTATGGTGATGCGTGGCTTCGCTTCGTACGCCTTGGACCCAGGTATTAAATCAGAATATTCATTGCAGTAAGGAACCTGAGGTGTACGTTATGTTTCCCTTTTATAATTCGGTTATCCTTTAAGACGCTGCAACGTACGTTGATACTTGTTTTTTTTTTTGTCATTTGATGTGTTGTGGGGTAGTATGCTTATGTGCGGGTGGGGGGAGGTGAATGGAAGAACACCGCTAGAAATTGACTGCATTAATGATTAACTTCTGTTGAGTAGGTTAGGATTCATTTCTGGTGTACTTTCATTCTAAGAATTGTAATATGCGCGAACTGGATATCGAAGTATCGCGTTTGTGTTCCTCAATGCTGAGTGGCTGCCATCGTCGCTACTGTATCACCAAGCTGCCGCGTGATGATTCCAATGTATGTGACTTGGACAAGAAAAAACTACGTTTATGCATTAATATTGTGGGTATTTTACAGTATAAGATACACATGTCATTCCGAGACGTAAATAACCGCTCGAATCGCGCGTAATGACAAAGCCACTAGTCCTTTGTTCGTGGGTTGAACGCATATCGCCATCTTCATAACAGAGGACTGAGTTGGAAATATGTTTGTAACATGCTTTATTTTTATAAAAAGCCTGGAAGCTCACTGCCCAAGAATCTGTACTGTTATTGTCTGTATATGTATGCATACAGGAAACTGGATATTTTGGATGTGAATGTTTTTTGTCATTCGAGGAACTCAATACTAGAGGCTTTCTGGATCCTTCAGAGTCTGCTGAATGGCAAATTGTGTGTCACCTGTGTTTGTGTTTGCCTCAAGAGCAATGCTGAAGGCCCACATGTTATCACAACCAAAATTCAACCATGAACTTGACCTGTGTTCTTCAGAAACCTCATGTCACTGGCCCCATCTTTATGTGCATTGCGTCAGCATTAGGACATATTGCATGTGCATACTGTATGTGAGAGTTAAGTTGGTCCAAGATAATGTGCTCTCAATTAACACTCAGCCACTTCCTAGTAACATATTCTGGAGCTCAGTTTTCACATCATTGTATTTCTGAAAACACATATTAACCAAAATGTATAACCATAATTAAGAGATGGAAGTGGTTACCAGAGAAGTTGCTTAGGGTGAATTTGATGATGTCAGGAATCCAGTCAACTAGTCTTCACAGGACTTTGTACATTTTTGTTTTCAGGACTGGAACAGTTGCAGCCTGGGCCCTTAAATAAATATAAAATCACATCTATTACATCCTTCTGGGATCTGACTTGCATGTCTTTTATAACTGACACTTTTACAAAATGACTTTAAGAATTATCAAATGCATGCCATACATTACAGTTAGCAGTGTTTGCACCAAAGCACACAGGTGATACAAGTCGTTTATAAAAATAGCATGCGTTACAAAGTGAAGCACTCGCAACAGAACAATGGCGACATCACTTTTAAAATTACTACTCAGTGATAGGGGTTGAAAGCAACTTTTCTGCTACATTGCCGAGCAATTCATATCGTTTATTGCTATGGAGGGGGGTTGTTTGTAGTGGTTTCATGCATCATCTCATGAACCATCTTGTATGCAATGCATCACAGTAGACAGTAATGAAACTACTGAAGGGCAATGAAATGTAAAGTTCCTGCAAATTATAGAAAATGTGGGTATGAAATAATCATTTTATTCACTGATATTTTCACAGACTTATAATTCAGTTGCTTATACTGAATCTTGACAAACTCCATGTTTTATAACACCCCGGTTTGAGTAGGTGCTGTTTTAGTAAATATACAGGCAATATATCATCATGGCTCACTTCTTGCTAGTTATTAATACATTGGCATGAAACTTCCCTTAGACTGCAAAGTACAAAATACAGAAACATCTCCACATACCTTAAATGGCTCCAGCACCATGACCAGATCTTCAACTACCTTCCATTTATCATCAGTCAGTGTGATGGTTTCAACGTTATCTAATACTGACGCCACGACATTCTTCTGAACCAGAAACTGTTCCAGCATTATGTATGTTGAAGTCCAGACTTGAGGATGGTCCATCTTCAATCCATTTTATTCAAGCTTCAAAGGATTGTACATAAATTACAAAGATAATCTGAGGTAATCATAGGAAATTAAAACTGTTTTTATACTTGAAGGGTACCTGTCACACAAGGAAGAAGCTCTCTCCCCCATGTCTCTTAATGTTTGACATCATCCACAGCTCTTCTCATTTAGAGGTTACAAGATCAGTGTGAACGCCCGTTTGTTGACTGTTTCATGCATGCGATAAATGGCTCTTGAATGGATTTCGATGACATTCTGCAATGTCGATACTTACAACATTACGTATTTTTGCCTGTGACGTACTTCCAGTCAATTGGTCAGTAATGTAACTACATTGTTGTTAGGATGCAAGTGAAGACAATCTCGTTATTGATCAACATTGATACATCATTCCTGCCCAGACGTTACTCAGAACAGTCAGAAACTGACTTCTTTCCGATGAACTGAAAAACCTGTTTAACAGA